AGGGTGTCATGGCAGGCACCTGTAGTCCCAGCTACTCTGGAAGCTGAGGCAAGAGGATCACTTGAACCCAAGAGTTTGAGGTTATTGTGAGCTATGATGCCATGGCATTCTACCCAGGGTGACAAAGAAAAGGAGAAGTTGAAATTGATCAGACATACAGTCACAGAATATATTAGGCAGGTAAGTTCAGCTTCTGAATACCTGATTAATTTCTGGTTTTTCATGCATCTGGTTTATTTGAAGTAGTTACAGTAGACAAGAGTTTGAAAACTGGTAAAAGAAGTGGGTAGGTCATGGATCTGAGGTTGAGGAGAACCCTTGAATTCAGGCAGTAAGATAAATTAGGGCCCACATACTGTCCTCCCCTTTTCTAATTCTGGGGACCTTCTGCAGATGATTCCCCTTTTCCCAGTTTCTCAGACTGTACCTGACGCTTACTAGGTTTACATAACGTCTTGAAGGTAGAGTTTTTTTAGTCTCATCAAGAAATTAGTTAGGTATTGATATGGTATTTTGGTGTGGCTTATAGCAATTAAATTGACCAGTGATATGAATCAGTGCAGATTAGAGATGGAACCTTATTGAGAGCTTTGGTAGCAGTCGTTGGCTGGTGCCAAGTGGCCCCAAAGATACAGAGATCTCCCCTACTCCTGTTCTAGTTTGTCCCACAGGTTGCCACAGAGGAGTCTTCCTGAAGCACGATGCTCAGCAAACCACTCCCTGACCGAATGTTTTGGCTCCCCACTTCATTTATCTACTTGGGTTCAGGTTCCTGTTAATCTCTGCCCTAGTGTTCTTCACCTTGCCTTCCATCATCTGCCCTCTGCATTGTCTCCTTACTTGTTTGGTGTAGCATTGACTTCTGTAGCTGCTATGTAAATACTTGCTGGTAGAATTTACTGCTCTTCTGTGTTTTTTATGTGTCTTTTAGGACAGTGCCTTCCAACCTGGATTTCAAGGATCTCTGGAGGATTATGATGTTAATACAAGCGGTCTGAAAATATATACCTTATTTGTACATTTCTTAATACTGGCTGAGGACTTACTGAGCTATTTACTCTACTAAACATTTTATATATCTTTCCCTAAGAGGCAGATATAATTTTTATCCTCTTTTTATACCTTGCTAATTAAGGTTAAGTATGTTCCCTGAAGTCATATACCTGATGAGTGTTAGAGCTGATATCTAAACACAGAAGTCAGACTCCAGAGTAACTGCACCAAGCCATTTTGCTATATTGCCTCTGTGGTAAGCCTTGTGAGAGAAAGAAAGACAGAAATTGTCTTCTTCTAAGAAGAGGCCTCAAGTTCAAATGCCACTGCTGTGGCACTTAGGGCATCTGCCAGGATGGTCTCTTAAATGGCTTGTCCCAAATTCCCACTTGAGAATAGTGGAGCCGGGATGTCCTATCTGCTGTGTCTCTAGTATATAGCCTGAGGCTTTTTATTCTATTATAGCTTTCTCCTCCTATCTATTGTTGACACCATAGTTGTGACTCTTTTTCTAATTTGTGAACCTTATTAAACATATTTTAAGAAACCCAGGTTCTGGTTTTGCATTGCTGTGATGAGGCCCTCTGCCAGGTATCCCCCAAACCCACCTGTATTATCTAATGCAGAGGTGCTCAAACTTTTTAAACAGGGGGCCAGTTCACTGTCCCTCAGACCGTTGGAGGGCCAGACTGCGAGCCCTGGGATGAATTGGCTGCTAAGCAGGACAGGCAGTGGCAGCAAAAACA